CATGATGGTCAAACAATTCCGGAAGTTCAAGAAGTTCTTCAAGAAGGCTGATTCAATCAGAAGACCATCCAAGGGAAAGCCACAGGTAAGTGACTCCCCTCCTGAATCTTATTTATGCTATAACTGCAGGAAGCCTGGCCACTGGAAGTCAGCATGCCCGTACCCAAAGGTGGAGAAGTACGGAGAAAGAGAAAGGATCGAGAAGAAAAAGAAAGCAATGGTTGCTGCTGAAAGTGACGAGTCATCCAGCTCAAGCTCGGATGAAGAAGCCCTCGTCTGCATGGAGCACAGAGTTGAGAAGTCCAACCGTGAGGATAGGTGGACTATGTTAGAAGATGACACTCTCTGCCTAATGGCCAAAGATGATGCTGATCAAGAGGTAACCTCACAAACCTCCTGCTCATCTTCTTATAGCACACCAACTTCTGAAAATCTTTTTGACCAGTTCAAAAAGATGATGAAAGACTTTGAGGAGATAAATCTCAAACACACATCCTTAACAGAAGAGAACAAACTATTGAGTGAAGAGAATCTCAAGTTGACTGAATCTAACGACCCAAAAACCGGCTTAGTAGTTAGCCGTTATTTTAATAAAAATAAATATTAAATTTATTTACTCTAAAATATGAATTATTGGTAAAGTTATCCGTTTTAAATGAAAATTGGGTTTTCGGATAGGTCTCGTAAAATGGTTACCAACGGTATATAGTTTGCTAACTTCGGACATACGTATAAAGCGTGGTGAGTAAAATAGATGTTACAGTTCAATAATTACATATAAAGATTTTATAATAAAATAATAATAAATCAATATAATACTACTAATTCTACCCGTAGAAGGATTCCCAAACCCATGCCCTTATATATACACACGCACGCACAATTGAAGAGGAAAAACAAAAAGGAAAAACATATACGGAGTACTGGTCGCCGCCGAAGAAGTAACAGAGCAGGAACACGAGAACAGAGCCGCGCAGTGGAGGAGGAGCAGTACCGCCGCCACTGTGACGCCGGTTCACCGCCGCTGTCTCCCCGTGCCGCCGCTGCTCCAGTGTCACTGCTTCGTTGTCGCCGGAAAACAGCCCCACTACCATCGCGCCCTTGTTGTGGATTCAATTCGTCAATTTGTTTTGCTTAATTCACCAATTAATCGAGGTCAGAACTTGCACATCTAACGCTAGATTATGTATATAGATTTGAAATTCACGTTCTTAGTTTCGTATGATTGATTACGTGGTTTATTTGTTACAATTGAATTATGATTTAATTATATTATATGTTATTGTTGGAGTTGATTGAACAAGGATGACCAGGTACGTTTTCTTACTTCGAATTTGTGTGATTTGCATGACGGTAAGTAGAAGGTGTTACACCTGACACTAGGCCGCTAATCGAGTTGTATGATTTATTGTCTGATTAATGATATATTTATTGTTATGATTAAATATAATCCTGTTGGGTTATGGAAGTAAATAAGGAAGTGAGATTGTTGTTGGAATAAGCTTGAATTATAGAGATGTTGTAAATAAATGATTATGCTACCTAGGGGAACTCTAGGACTGCCTTAGTACAATTGTAAGTATAAATGTCAA